AAGGAGGAAAATGTGGCAAAACAGGACTAGTTGGTTGCACCTGCAGCTGAATCTGCTTTCACCTATTGCCTTCTGTCCCAATGGGTGCTAGTCTTGGCTGCTCTTGTGAGTCTAGACTCAATTTTGGGTGACAGTGTTGATCTGCATTTTATTATTCTTGTAGGATGGCTGCTCTTTTTTTCTTTTTAAAGACTGCTTAAAGACAGCAATGAGTCACTAATGAATTATTTTGCTTTTATGACAAAACTAGTGTATGGTGCAGTGTGTCCTAGCTTCAAATGTACCATAAACTTCAATATACTTACCCACCCCACTCCTCCTGGGTGTGTTCACTTAATATCCAGCCTGAAGAGCAAATAGCTTTACTCAACTTGCTCAGAATTTTGACTGTTTAGCTGGTTGTATGATAAAGGCTACTATTTATGTTTGATTCCCCCCCCCCCCCACAAGATAGACTGTTGTGTGTATGAACAAGCATCTTGCCTATGACTGAATAGTGTTGGGTGTTTGTTTACTTCAGTCTGTGATGTTCTCAAATCTATGTGTTATGTGAATGTGCACATACACGTTTCCTAAGACTTTAAAAATTCTGTAACCTTCATTTAAGCTGAAAAGGGCTAGATAATATGCACACATCAGATACCTGAAAAGAGGGGGAAATGTAAACAGCTACTTGTTATGTCTCTGCTAAGATGTTATCTTTTGTGGATGTGGACAGATTAGGAAACCTAATCTTTTTATTTCTCTTCTTTAGAGCACCAGGTATAATTTGAGACTTACTACTGTCTGGTTTTTGTGTGGATATTGTTGGACATTGCAGCTGGAGCCTTCACCGCTTCAGCTTCAACTAGCAAAGAAAGTTCTCTAAACATATAGGCAAATCAGCAATCATTTGAATGGGAAAATGGCAAAGGATTATACATTTCTGCCTAATTTCCATATATCTTGTGGAATGTAATTATGCTATTATTAATCTAATCATTGCATTCCTATCAAACCTTTTTCGCACAGGCTGACGGACTTGGTTCTCTCCCTTCGCATCTAATCCCACCACAAGTGTGAGCTGGGTTTGGCTGAGAGGCATTGATTGGCCCAAGGTCCCCTGCGGAGCTTCATGGCCAAGTGGGAATTTGACCCTGGGTCCCCAGGTCCTTGTCTGACACTCTTAACAACTACACTGCACTGTAACCAACTTAGTATTTCTTTATTTGAAATATTTCTGTGTACACAGAACACACAATGAACAAGTTTTATAAATAATAGAAATGTGCTTTGCTCCAATTTCTGACCATGTCTGGAAAGCAGTCTCACAGTTAGCCCCCCCAGGCCTCTTAGATAGCTGGAGGTCTGTGGTTCCTGGCTTTCTGCAGTAGTGGTGACAGAATAGGGGGGCGGGAGGGTTGATGGTATATGTCTGCTTCCCAGGCCTTTGGAAGTTACTTAGATACTAGATGTTGAATCTCACTTAGCACAGTATCGATCATGCTTGAACAGTATATTATTGAATACTTTTAATATAATAGGATGAAACAATGCGAGGGTGACCAGTTCCAGGTGCTGTGCCTGTTACCCTTTTATTTTCAGGCAAATATATCTCAATTTGGCTCACAATTTTTTAAAATAAAAGGCAGGCCTTGCCCTCAGACTTACAAACTAAAAAGAATATGACACAGAAGTGAAAAGGAGGGAGGGAGATCTGGTTTGACAAGGCCAAAATAAAGTGGTGACTTGTTACAGGCATTTGTATCCAGTTGGTGATTTTCCTGGGATAAAAGTACCACAGTGACCCTGCAGCCCACATGCCTCTGACTGGTGGGGAGAGGTCACACTCTGTTTCCTTCACTTCTTTAGTACCAAGACAGCTGGCAATGGGAGCCAGATGTTCTTTCCAGTAGGGAAGGGAAGCAAAGTTCCTTCAGCTGCTCCTTCTATAGTCCCGGGAGTTAGCTGTTGTAACTATGCATTTTATGCAAGTAGGCTGCCTGGATTGGGGGAGGGGGGAGGCTGAAATATGCAAGCCCTACCTGTGTGAACTCTACAGGTGGGTGCCCACAGTTTCCATTATCGTGCCATTTCCAAAAAGTGCAGCAGTAATGTATGCATGATGTGTTAATGTATAATATACTTATCTGTATAATCTGTGTACTTAGGAGTTGGCAGAAGGGATTGCACAGAGGCAGCTCACCTGTGTAAACCAACCCTGATTTTCCTAATGAGAAAATCCTTTAAAGCATTGAGGCAAATGCACAAGAATAAAGAAATTCTCAATGCTGAGAATGAGTTTTGAGCTGTTTTTTTAAAAAAACTTAAATGTGTGCCCATAATGAATTTTGCACTCTATATGCTAAGCTGTTGGCTCCCCACTCTGTCATTGCCACCGCTTCCTGTTGGGGTACAAAGTGCTTCTCTGCTGGAGGAGGGGGAGGGCATCTGTCTAGAGCAGGGGTCGGCAAGGCTGACCTTGCTTGGGGGGTTCACTGCTGTGGAGCCCCCTCTGTGGGCCAGATTGCGGGCACGCATGAGCAATTTTCGGCGTCTGTGCATGCGACTCCCCGCATTGCGCTGGTTTAGTGCAGCGTGCGGGGACTCAGCTGGTGGCTCGGTTCGGGGACAGCTCGTGGGCTGGTAAAATGACCCCCGTGGGCCGCAGGTTGCCGACCCCTGGTCTAGAGAGCCAGCAATAGGAAGAGGCGGAAGCATTAGCAAGGGGATGAGCAATGGAGTTTTTTGTGTGTAACGGAAGGAACGTGGGTCACTCACATATTTACCTTGACCAATTACTCCACTTTTCATGTGTCAGTGCATTTAATTTTCTGCATGCAGTGCTATTTTCAAAAAACATTTTTTTCAAAGTAGTTGTTCAGGAGCCATTCATATGAATGCCAGTCTAGTTAAAGCCATAAGCCAGACTCTAAGGCCGCTGATTTCCGAAGAAGAGAGTGGCTTTAAAAATGGCAGCTTTTAATATTAGAATTTCAGGTTCCCTTCTTATGGAAATTCCATAGAAGATACTCTGGTTTTACAATAAATAATTGTACAAGAGAATTTTGTCACTAAGTTTGTAACCCTCTGCACGCCTGAGTCTCATTGATCGTAGTGGGACTTAGTTTTGAGCATTGTAGGATTCCATTGTAATTATTGTGTGAGTTCTCACAATTGTGTCTAAGAGTTGTTTGTTTTTTTACTTGCATTGAATTTTATTTAAGAAATGTGTATGCTGCCTTTCAGGGAAATCCTCCCAAGGTGCCTTACAGATGTCTTTAAGCAGAGGCTTGACAACCATATGTCAGGAGTGCTCTGATGGTGTTTCCTGCTTGGCAGGGGGTTGGACTCGATGGCCCTTGTGGTCTCTTCCAACTCTATGATTCTATGATTCTATTCTATGTAATTAAAACAACATAAAACCACTTTAAAAATATCACATAAAAATGCCTTTTACTGGAGTTCATTTTGAAAAATGACATCTAGGCAGATTTAGGGAAATATGTTTATTGGTTCTGTCATTCAAGCATGTTTGTGAGCTGAATTTGATTAAGCAACTATTCCTGGCTAATCTTCATTATAAGAAGTAATTATCCACTACTCTAAAACAATTTTTCATGTGATCCTTAGTGACACTTCTTTAGACTGATAGTTACTGGTACTTTTTTTGTTTGTGTAGTGCTTTAGTTGACTTCAAAATGACTTTAGGGTAAAGTGGCATCTGAGAGGAAAAGTTTTTGCAGAGGTTTCCATCCCTCTATATTTGTATAGAATAATTAAGAGATTGTCTGCACTGAGGAAAAACAGATTCACTTTTATCTTGAAACCGCTAGGTTGAGGAGCATTAGTGGACTAAAGCATAGGATTTTGTTTCTCTGAGTTGCCAAATCCACGTAAGCTGTAGGTAAATGTTCAGCGTGTACTGCAACTTCATAAATTGCAGCTTACCCCTGTACCAGCTTTTGAAAAAGTTTTAGGAATGCTGGACTGCCTGGGGAAAATGTGTTTTAAAAAGGGGTTTAGTTCATGTGAATCATAAATTTCTGCACTTCCAGATTCTTGTTTAAAGTTCAGTTACATTCCCCCTAGTCCCTGTTGTTGTCATGTGAATCTGAGAGTTGAATCAAATAACAATCTTTGCACACGTGTCACAAATTGTGAACAAATAGTCAAATGCTCATGAAAAGTAAAAAGAAAAAGAAAAAAGAAACCCCGTCATTCCTCTGTTTCTGAGTCTGCTAGCTGAAGTTAACACTTTTGTGTCTCTGATGAAATGTCTGTACATGACATTTTTATTTCATAATGTCAGCCCACAGTACCTTAAGACTTCATTATAAAACTTGTACTACCAGCAAATTTGAAAGTTGAAAGATTACTGGGTTTGGCTGCCTGGATAACCCATGTCTAGTCATTTCTTGCTGCTTCCTTTTTCTTTCAAGCCAACAATTGCTTATAGTGCTTTTTGTGATGGAGGAGGGTCTAATAGAGCTGTTGGAGATGCATTGGAGTCAAATACTTGATATGAGTTTATGAGAACTTTTTTTTAGCACTGATGCAGTCCTTGTCGAACCATGGTTTGGAGTGGTGTTGATGGTGTCTCCGCTCTATACTGTTGTTGTTGTTATTATTGTGATGCTAGTACAGGGAGGGGGGAAAGTATTTGATCCCCCTAAATTTGCCCATTTGCCATCTAATGAAGAAATGACCAGTCCATAATTTTAATGGTAGGTTTATTGTAGCTGTGAGAGACAGAATAACAACAGGAAAAACCCCAGAAAGCCAGAAGACAAAAGTCAGAGATTGATGTGCATTATAATGAGTGAAATAAGTATTTGATGTCCTATCAACCAGCCAGATGTCAGGCTACCTGGTATCTTCACTGTATGTAATGAGCTGAGATTAGAAGCACCCGCTGTAAGGGAGAGGTTTTACCTGTAATCCCAGCTCCTTACAGTTACCTGTACAGAAGACACCTGTTGACAGAAGCAATCAATCCAGCAGATTCCAAACTAGCCACCATGACCAAGACCAAAGAGCTGTCCAAGGATGTCACGGACAAGATTGTAGACCTGCACAAGGTTGGACTGGGCTACAAGACTATTGCCAAGCAGCTTGGTGAGAAGATGACAACAGTTGGTGCAATAATTCGCAAATGGAAGAAACACAAAATTGTGGGAATGTTTATATAATTTAGCAGAGTTTAAACGATCCCCTGTTTGAGTTTATCCAGCTGTCAACCTCCTTTGGTCTGGGGCTCCATGCAAGATCTCTTCTCATAGAGTTGCAATGACCAGGAGAACGGTGATGAAGCAGCCCAGAACTACATGGGGGGAACTTGTCATTGATCTCCGGGCAGCTGGGACCATAGTCACCATGAAAACAGTTGGTAACACACTATGCCGTGAAGGACTGAGATCTTGCAGAGCCCGCAAGGTCCCCTTGCTCAAGACAGCACATGTTCAGGCCCGTCTGCAGTTTGCCAGTGCACACCTGAATGACCTAGAGGAGAACTGGGTGAAAGTGTTGTGGTCAGATGAGACCAAAATCAAGCTCTTTGGCATCACCTCAACTCGCCATGTTTGGAGGAGGAGGAATGCTGCCTACGATCCCAAGAATACCACCCCCACTGTCAAACATGGAGGTGGACATATTATGCTTTGTGGGTGTTTTTCTGCTAAGGGGACAGGACACCTTCACTGCATCGAAGAGACGATGGATGGGACCATGTATCGTCAAATCTTGGGTGAGCGCCTCCTTCCCTTAGCCAGGGCATTGAAAATGGGTCGAGGATGGGTATTCCAGCATGACAATGACCCAAAACACACGGCCAAGGCAACAAAGGAGTGGCTCAAGAAGAAGCACATTAAGGTCCTGGAGTGGCCTAGCCAGTCTCCAGACCTTAATCCCATCGAAAATCTGCATATAATATGACAAACATAAGGCAAGCATAATCCCCAGAGGCCTTTTTGTTGGCCTACAGTGAGGGGGGAAAGTATTTGATCCCCTGCTAAATTTGCCCGTTTGCCCTCTAACGAAGAAATGACTAGTCCATAATTTAATGGTAGGTTTATTGTAGCTGTGAGAGACAGAATAACAACAGGAAAACCCTCAGAAACCCAGAAGACAAAAGTCAGAGAAGAGTGAAATAAGTATTAGATCCCTTTGCAAAAGATGACTTAGTCCTTGGTGGCAAAACCCTTGTTGGCAAATTACAGAGGTCAGACGTTTCTTGTAGGTGGCCACCAGGCTTGCACACATCTCAGGAGGCATTTTGTCCCACTCCTCTTTGTAGATCCTCTCCAAGTCAGTAAGGTTTTCCTGCACAGATATAGGGGGTGAAATATTGTGCAAGGTGGCCATAATATGTGAACTGTAGAGAGAAAATGTGTGTGGGGGCGGGGAGAGTCGGTCCTGTGTGGTTTTAAGACAAAATTGTGAAGTTGACTTGTTTAAGTTATAATGATTTATTGTGCCCTTTTTCAAAGTAAGTCTGGTTTGATTGCTTATAGTTAAATTATTGTGTCTGACAGACAACTACCAGTAAATTTGCATAGTGACCTAATGGCATGTTTCTCTGAAGCAGATTACATGATTAAAAGTATTTATTAAGACAGACTATATAATTACTGTTGCTATAAATACTTACTGATCTTTGATTGCTCCTTCCTCTTCAAACTGAGAATCAATATGTTTTCAAGCTCTTATGTATTTTGAAGTTTTTATTGCATTTGTTGTACCTTATGCTATCTTTCCCTCATGTGTATTTTTTGTAATCTAAAATGTGTCTCTCTCCCTTTATAGTGGCAGTTGCATTAAACAGTTGTACAGGTTGTATTATTTTTTGAAATCTTCTTAAAACTGAAGCTAGATTAACAACTTTAAATCTTTCCCACAGCTGTTCCATTGGGATTTTTATAGGACAAGAAAAAGCCCCATCTTAAACGTCTGTGCCATCTTGAGTCTTACAGATTTTTGTTTATATGGATGTGTTTCTTTTGCTAGGTAGTTTCCATCTCCATGAACTGACTTTTTTAAAAGTAAGCAACGGGCAGGAAAACCATTATTTTCTCCTCATTGTGCTTATCAGATAAAATAAAGCTGCTGTTAAAAGCCTTACATTTCTTTTCTCTGCTCATGTTTTATATTTAAAGAAAATACTTTGTATGGGGAGGGTTTTTATTCATCTTAGTCTGGCTTTCTCATGTTGTTGAACAGATGGTTAATTCATAAAGGTATTAAAGCACTGTAACAAAATCTGATCATCTGAAGATGGGGCAATAAGAACAGTCTGCTGCATTGGTGAATCTTGCTGAGTTTGTTGTTCTCTCGCATTGTCGCCAATCTTAGAGTAATATATAACTTGCATGCAGTTCAGCATTCTTCCTGTTTTTTCATGGTGATTACTGCATTAGTTTCCTTGATATCATGACTTGTTCTAAGTTTCAACTTTGGCAAGTAATTGTAAAACTGTTTTTGTGATGTATCTGTTCCTACTCAGCAGTTGAAACTGTGTTGATACCTCTGTCTTCCAGGACACAAGGTGAACTTATTGTATTTTTCGTTCCATAAGACACACTTTTTTCTTCCTAAAAAGTAAGGGGAAATGTCTGTGGAGCGAGTGCGTGGTCCCTGGAGCCGAATTGTCCAGGGACAAAAAGCAGATCATGCTTTTTTTTTTTTTTTTTTGAAAGAGGGAAGTGGGTGTTGAAACAAAGCCACTGATTGTTTGCCAATCGGGAGTGAGATAAGGGATGCTAGAGATAAAGGAGGCTGCCTGGGAGGGGGGAGGGAAAGACAGCAAACTTGCAAGGAGAGGAGACAGGAAGACTAAAGCAATGAGGAGAGAAATTAGAAGAAAAGGAGGAGCAAAAAACTGCTCTAGTTAAGGAAAAGACACTAAGGCAAACAAGAGGGAAGGGAGTGCTGAAAGGAAGCAGCTGATCGGTAAGGGATTGGGAGGGAGATAAGGGAGGCTAGCGACAAAGGAGGCTGCCTGGGAGGGGGGAGGTAAAAGCATATGGATCCTCAGGATTTTTACATTGGGTCACCCCAAATTCACCATCAGATCACATAGCATGTTCATGGCTACAGCCTGCACCAAAAAAATCACACACCCACTGTTGCCTGGGGCCGCAATGGCGCAAAAACGTGGTTGCAAAGCACAGATCCACATGGATCCTCAGGATTTTTGCATTGGGTCACCCCAAATTCACCAGATCACATAGCATGTCCATGGCTACAGCCTGCACCAAAAAAACCATACATACATTTCATGGGGCTGCAATGGCGCAAAAACATGGTTACAAAGCACGGATCCACACGGATTCTCAGGATTTTTGCATTGGGCTACCCCAAACTCACCATCAAATCACATGTCTGTGGCCACAGCATGAACCACAAAAATCATACATCCACTGTTTCGTTCAGAATATTTATTTTCTTGTTTTCCTCCTCTAAAAACTAGGTGCGGCTTATGGTCAGGTGTGTCTTATGGAGCGAAAAATACGGTACATTTCCTTGGGGTCAAAATTTTGACCAGAGGCAAGCCGGAGTTGGATCAAACCAAATGACAAGCATTTTAAATGGAGTGGCCAGTAACATACACAAGTGCATGTCCCTAACTGCTGAAACAAAAATAGCTTGCCTCAAGTCAGGAATGCATAGGTTGACATGGTGGGAAAAGGGGCAGAATAAATATACCCTAGAGCAGTGGTTTCCCAACCATTTTGGTATGGTGACCCACAAGCCCAAATTTATCTGGTATGGTGACAAATTGATTTATTGTCACATTAATTTTGGACCATAGGTCTTCAATCCTGCCATCCTCAGAGAGCAGTTCTTGAGTATGAAAATGTAAGACTTGAGCCTTTCTGACATTTAGTTACAAGTGTTAACGCAGCATTATAGTATGCCAGCAAAACAATATGTTGTAAGAGGATCATGCCAGTTAAGGATCACAAGCAATAATTATTTGGGATTTACTTATAAAGGCCCTGACCTACTTGCACAGGCTTCACAACCCACTTGTCCATAAACCACAGGTTGGAAAACACTACTTTAGAGTTAGAGCCCAGGTAGATGGGGGGAGGCACCTAAAAGCTAGTGTCCCAAACCCCATTCATTTTGAAATTTGAGTTGGCTGGCAGTGGCACCAGTCTTAGCATGTATGTAATCCTAGAAATGGAAGGTATGTGTGGATAAACTCTTGAGCTGTGCTTTTCAAAATGTAGCCCTGATGGAAGTGCAGATAGGAAGGAGCTGTGATTTCAGGTGAGTGCACAGCTCTGTCTCTTGAACAAATGAGTGGTGCTGGGGTTAGTGAGGCAATCATGTCAGGTTTTTCTTGCCTGATCCTAATATTGCAGCAGTGCAGGGGGGGACCAAAGGTGTACAAAGCACCGCAGAAGGAGCATGATGTGCCCCCCACCAAAGATACTACCCGCTCCCCTAACACCCCATATACCCCTTTGATAAAATAGACATTTTAAATTATAGGGAGAGGCAAGCATTAGCTTTGTGGGCAGATGATGCAAAGGTAGCTAGTATTTTTGTAGCCTCTAAATGTGCAGTTCTGTTGTTCATCATAATGAGAAACCTAACAACACTATGCTGAGTTAGAGAAGCAGTTTTTGCTTTAAATTGTCTGTAAAGGTAGGCAGTTGGTGGGATTGTGTATTCATTACTTCTGACCATGCTCTTCAGGGATGTTTTTCTGCAATTTTTGTGTAGCGGAATCCTATAAACATGGAGAATCAAGTGTCACTTAATTCAGTGGTACTCCCATGTAAGCGTGCAGAGAATTGACACCTAGGGTGAATGGTATTTCCTCCAGCAACAATATACAATTTATTTCATGTATATTGAGTGGTATAAGGAGGCCAAAATAAGAATTTCTGACTGCTAATTTATAGAATGAGAGAGAAGATCAGATTGGCCACAGTGTTTTAGAAATTATGATATGCTGCATGTGGTACATCAGTAAAACAAACCAAGCAGGGCCTCAGTTATTGTATGCTCTTTAGTGTTAGTAACAAAACCTGCTACCATTCCTGTGAGTGAATACTATTTGTTGTATTTTTACAAAGAATGATGACTTGTATTTGAGTAGCCATTTTAAAGCTGGCAACTCAGTGCAGAGGGCCCTAATAATGGGCTTTATTTTTCTCCCTGCCTACACATGGGCAGCTGA